TACTTCACACTCTGTAGCTGACACAATGTTTTCGCTTACTCGGAAGAGAAAGTAGTCTTGGATTAGTGCTCTCAAGGAAAGGAGTGCAGACCTGGTTTTGTGGAAGCCTGAGGCTTGAAGCCACACCCTGGTGCCTTGGGTTAGTAACAGTGTCAGGGATGTTTCTCTTGCTTACTCTGAGGGAACAGTTAGAAGGAAAGATGCTTCTAAAAAGAGGGACTTTGCCCCTCGGAACTTGCAACTTTGTTCTCAAGGCCTATATTGGCTTACTAGAGTTGTGAAAAAGAAGAGTACAAATAAACTAACAAAAGTTGTTTGTAGTATATATTTACATTTACTCTCAAAGCCGTCTAGATTTAGCTGTACAGTCTTCCACTTAGAAAGTCTAACACTACTAAGCCTGAAATAAAATAGTTGTTCAACATGACAGACTAATGTATACTTGGAAATTAAAGTTTATTATATTAAATTAAAAATTAACATGTGCTTTAATTTCAGGCCATCAGTCAACACAGTGGCAAGATATTTCTACAAGAATTTCACTGGTTTAACTTAATGGAGTTCAATCAAAACAAGATCCATATCTCTCATTTATTATTTTGGGAAAATAGTTAATATTTTCATTTTTCCCCCTAGTTCTAGAGCAGAAATTAAAGTTCTGAGATCCTTAGGTTTGGTTTTATTTTGAGTTTTCACACTGAACTATAAAATGTATGACTCAAGAGTGCCCTCAGCATTCGGGTAACAGAGCTGATCTACTTCCTAACAAGGGCGTTAAGGGGCATTTTGGGATTCTGTAGATGTGGCAAGAATCATGTATGAACTTGTCACTGGTCTTGTGCTGAAGGAGTAGACATCGGTGACACTGGGCATACATTGTTACTTTTTTATGCACTGTCATGACTACCACCCTCCTCCACTTATTGTCTTAACTTGTTAGTAAGGGATTTTTTTTAAAGCTGAATTTTTCTGGGTAATTTGAGAAGAAAATCATAGCACAGTTTTTTACTAGCAGAAATAGGCATGGGTTTATAGTCCAACACAGCATGTTTGAGTTGATATGTCCCTTAATAAGTTACGTTATAACCAACTCTGTGACCCTCGGTTTTTGTGTCTGTGAAATGGGCATGATTCTACCTCCTAGACTTACGTGTCTAGAAATGTGCATGAGTAGGGCAGAACTGAATGTTTAGTTCTGTTTTTTCCTCCCCCGTTTCCTATTTATTTTCATCTTAAAAGGATAACTTGTTAGAAAAACACTTTTCTGAGAAAATTATTATAGAAAGCAATTACTAGTCAATACCGAAGTGCACAGACACATATGAGCTGCTACCCTTTAAGCGGGATTTTTGGCATCAGTATCCTCCGTGACTTTGCACCTGGGGCCTGCTAAGTCCCAGTCTTTGCCATCCTACAGCTGCAGATCTAATGCAGCGCTCATTGAAGGTCAGTTAGAAGCAGGCAAAACCAGAATGCAAACTCTTTCTTTCAGAAGTGGGGCTGGGGACAAAGCCTTGGGATTCCAGGTGTGTCCCACCTCCAACTCTCAGAGAGTCAACTCTTGAGTCTATGTGAGAAGAGCTTCCTGTTGGAGTTCCAACACAATTCTTCCCTTCAGCAACATGGACGATGCCTTGGTATAAATAAAAAAAGACACTGAGCATATTCCAGATCTAACCTTCAAGATAGATCTGATCCACATAAAAATTACACTGTAGAGAATGGGTTATGATTAGATACGAAGGGGGTAATATTACTCCCTCAGATGTACCATGTTGCATATGTACATATGCCGACACTCGTGCCTTCAAAGTAATGCTATTAAACCTTTGAAGAAAGGGATACCTCTCTCCGTAGCATGCTTCTAAGCCAATTCAGAAGTCATTGAACAGATGTCGTATAACACTAATGCTAAATTACTCTGTGTAATAAGAAAATTACAGTACCTAAGTGAAGATAGTAAAGGGAAACCACCCAACGAATTACTCTCAAATTTCAAAATGAAATGATGTCTGTAGAAACAACAGTGGTACCATGTGACTTTAGAAAAGTCTGGTAGGGGCCAGAGCACTCAGGGACAGAAGGGAAGCTTTTCTCTGTACCCACCAAACTTTTGTTGTGCTAGAAGAATTAATACATTCATACAGATATCAGCTGTCCAAGAAGTACATGACAATTATTGCACTGTGAGGCAAGACTTTTATTAAACTCTGGCTTCTCATTGAGTTGTTTAATACAGAAATCACAAAAACCATTTCTGGTGTGTCTGTATATCTTCTTTTTGCTATTAGGCAAATTATTTGGCCTAATTATTTGGAGATCACAGTATGGCCAAAGAATAAAAATGTACACTTTAAATAATCAGCAGCATTTTCTCAGTGAGTAAACCCCACTTACAGCTAGGAAACAACATTTATATTTAAGGTTGAGAAGCCAGGATGTAAGAAAATTTTGCTAATCTGGAAGATGACCTTTAGGTGCACCAAAACCAAGTAATTTGTAGGCTGTGACATAGGGCGAATTCCTCCAAAATTTGTGTGAATACTGCTTCCGTGGTTCTTGAAAGACAAACAAAGCAAGCTGGAACGAAAGCTTTGCCCTCTTCCAAATAAGATGGGGACTCTAACAAAAGAGTGCAGCGCGTCCCTTTCAAAGTTCACCCTTAAAACCGGGTCTCTGTGGCACAGCTAATGAGATGGCTCATGGCAGAAAACAATCTGGTTTTAAGAATGTTTAGATCAAAAGTAATTTCTAATCTATGAAATAAGGCCTCTTCAATACCCTTCATTCACCAGTGAAGCTTTTATGTTTGTATTATTTACTTCAATCAGATGTTTTCAATTGTACCTCCCCCCCTCACAAATACATGACATGGTTCATCAATACTGACCAACAGTCTTATTCTTTTCCTTCAGAAAAGAGATGTTTGAGAGAGGTAGAATGAAAAAGAGAGAGAGAGAGAAACATCTTTGCCTAAGTGATTTGCAAGCATCTGTGCTTGAAGCTACTTTTTATGAACACTCCTTGGTAAATGACTCAAGGTAAAAAAGCAGAAAAGCATCCAATGTTAGGAAATTGCAATCCAATACCATGTAATTTAAACCTGCGGTTGCTTCTCTTGTACTAAATGACATACAGATGGCTAGCTTAGCTCTCGCAACTTTGGGAACACAATTGGTCTTTTTATATGAATGAACATATAGTAACCCAAAATATTTTGGATGGATTTGCTTAATTCTAATTGTTCAGATCTTAATTATCAAGCCCATTGGAACTAATAATTTTAACCATGATAATTTGTCACATTACGTTTTAATTAATGAACTTCTTGACAAAATTAGCAATGATACCCTCCTAACAAAAAATAAATAAAAGCAAAATATTGTTTTTAAGAAGTCTGGAGGGAGGTAAATAGAATTTCACCCATCTCAGGACACCAACTATTTGAGAAATAGCCCTTCTGTATTCAAGTTGAACAGACTAACAAGGGAGACATTTTTGTCTATGCCTTGGACAGTAATAGGGTTTGTCACAGGGTTGTTCCATACCAGGATGAGCCTGGCGTTAACTGGGGTTCAGGGAGATGGGAGGCCTTCAATGCCATTCCCAATGTGTCTGTTGCTCCTGGGTCTCTTTCTGGACCAACACAGGATCCGGAAGGCCAGCAGAAGTGGAGTCTGGGTTCTGCAGGCCTAACCAAGGTTATCTTTGCTCTTTCTCCCAGCTCTCTGTTTTCTGGTGGAGAATGAGCCATCTGTCTAGGCGGCCCCAGTTCTGGAAGCTGATAGCCCTTCTTCAACCCCACAATCAGGGTAACTGGTTTACCTTGATCTGTGCTGGGTTTAATTCGGTAATCTCATATTCTACATTAGGTACCTTATAAGTAAACAGTGGGAAGCAATCCCAGTTCTAAATCAAAAGATGTTGAAGTTAGTGGTCAGAACACTAAGAAGGCTAACTTCAAAACACGGTAGAAAAACTTTGCATGGAGGGCTATCTGCAAGTTCCTTTCCCACTGTAGTGGGTGGCAAAGAAAAGTCATTTTACTGCACTGAGTCATGGCAGTTCTGTCTCAGAGTTCTATTTCTTTTCAGTTGTTTGCTCGAGTAAAATAAAATACTACACATAAATAGGTGCTGTCTGAACGTTTTACTGCAGTCTGCATACATTGAAATAAAACTACCCTTGCAGTCACATTAGAATCATTTCATCCTTCAGATACCTGAGATCAGTGAACTTCCAGCTGAACTGCAGAAAGGGTAGCATGAGCCTAGAAATGAAGTCACACTCACCCTTCCCTTTGTCTGTGTCTTTTCTTTCTTCCTGCTCCCTCTCCTCTGGAATTCTCGAATCTGCCTTAGTATACATAAATGCTTTCTCCTGAAGTCTACTGAAAGGTTCTTGCTAATATGGTGGTAAGATAGGGTCTTTAGAAAAACATGCGTTGTAAGACTTAGAACCTGATAGACTCACAGAAAACAGTTCCTACTATAGAATCTCTCTCTCTCTCTCTCTCTCTGTCTCTCTCTCTCTCTATCTATCTTAAGGATTCTCAGAAAAATAAATAGGATGGCAATTAAGTAATCTTAGATGAAAATGGAATGGTGATGGCTTCAAGCTATTCTACCAATTTGCAAAATTATTGAATGGGCCTTTGTATGCCCATTCTCAGATATATGTGTACATATAAGTAGTGAATACTTACAAATACATGCACAATATTGGATTCATCTTTTAAAAAAGTAGTTTCAGGGTATCATATCAGGTGGCATATAGGATGTACCACCATCCTGGAAACAATGCCCAGTGAGTTTTTAGTATCACATTCATTCATTTTGAACTTGGAGACCAGCTGCAGCTCAGGTAAGATTTTGTAGTCTGTTAGGGACTGGTTTGGCCATTGACAAGTGACCCTAGAGGTTCCACTGTGGCGACCAGCCAAAGCAATTATTTAGGATTCAGGCTAAAAAGGCTCTTTCTCCCATGTCCTCTCTTTCCAGGGTCATGCAGGGATAAAAAGAACTGTAAGGTGGTCTTTTCCCAGCAGGAACTGAGGAAGCGGCTGACACCTCTACAATACCATGTCACTCAGGAGAAAGGAACAGAAAGGTAATGTATGCTATAATAAAAAGCCAGTGAGCGAGGACTGCCTTGCTCTCTCCTCCTTGGAGTCATCTTCCTTGCTAGTTAATTTAAAGAATCCTATAAGGCTAAGCCCGCAAATGACTGTTTTTGAAAAGGTTGGAAATGGGACATTGTTTAGGTTAAGGCTGACTTTTATTTCTGCTTTCCTTCGCTCAATGAACGTTCTATCTTATATAAAGTCACGGGGCTTTTGTTAAGGGCCTGTTTTTAGTTTATAACAAAATGTGTGGAAGTAATAGCGATTTAGGTACTAGGTTTTTCTTTTCTTTCTTTTCTTTTTTTTTTTTAAGACATCACAGCAAGGAAAACCGTGAGGGACATGGAGCTGTGCCAGGATACTGGCATTTGTGAAGGTGGCCATTGTAAGCATAGACATTTTGGCTGTAAAAAGAAGGTAGCATAATTTAGTTCCTTTCTACCCCACTCCAATTTCTTTTTGAAGCACATGTGGAGAAAGTATTTATTGGCTCATTTGTGGTTGGAATGTCAAAAATTTTCAATAACTGCCCTCACATGGCTTTGGTCCTTGGAAGTTCGCCCTACATCCTGGAAGAAAAAAAGAGAGAGAGAGAGAGTTTGTTCACTTCCAAGACTGTTTGTAGTGATTAAAGTCTTTCTCAGCTGATTCCAGCTAAAAAGTAACTTGCCAAAGCCCAATGATTTTGTTGTCTAATGTATACCGTGGAGCTTGGCATGAAGTTGTAAATGTATCTCCGATCCAGATTTATTAATGATGTAACTTAGTGTTTTCATTCATGAGCTGAAAGAGCTCTTTCCCACACAGGGGATCCTTGTTAATAGGCAGCACGCTCTTCCTGTCACAGAATCTACTATTTGCTGAATTGACTGAGCGGGGAATCTGACAAAGCGTGCCCTGGCTGTCCGCTGGAGTCAGTGTGGGCTGGATTCTCAGCTCGGAGGACTTCGGCCTGCCCTGTTGTGTGCATGGCTAGCAAAAATGATTTAATGCGCACAAACAACCAGAGATTAGGTCATTCTTAAAAATTCTGTTTATAAAAAAAATTGGACCTCGTAAAGAGGGTGAAAGGATAATAAAAACAAGCTGCAGAGTACACAGACTTTTTGTTGGGCTACCACAGCTGATTTGTATTAGCCGAATGACCTCCTCGCCTTTAAGATTGCTAACTTAGAAAAATATTCCCTTAAAGCTGCAATATTCGTTTTCAAACTGAAAAGTCAGACTCCTTCCACTTGGACCCTGCAGAATTTTCTGGTCCCCTCTTGCATAGTGTGGAGTAGCAGAAGTCTTATGTAATAATGTTCTTTATGTGACTCAAACAACAGCCCTTTTCTCCTCTTTAATTTGAAAAATATTCTAAGTATTACATACTAGATGGCTTGATATTTTTACTTAACCTGTACTAGTTTTGGAGTAGTTATATGCACATTTTATTATAGATACATATATTTGAAGTATATTAGTATGATTCAGCTTTCCATATGTTTGGTCTGTTCTCATTTTAGGGCAGAAACCCTGGAAAGATTTCCTAGAGAAATATATTTTAAGCCAACATGTTCTGTAAGAAGTAATACTAGCTTTGCTAATATCTTTTGACGATCTGTTTATTTTTTTATCAGTGCCTTTGAAGGGGAATTCACACACCACAAAGATCCTGGAATATATAAATGTGTTGTCTGTGGGACTCCATTGTTCAAGTAAGTGTACTGAAAGCTGGTAGGTATGTCTGGGCCATGTGACAGTGGACTCCTTGCTGCTCATTTACTTCTGACTCTTTCCTTTGATGATGTTGTTTCTGCCTTTTTCTGTTATAAACATATAATATGAGTGTGAGTGCGCGCGTGCGTGTGTGTGTGTGTATGTGTGTGTGTATCTGTCTGTCTACTCCCTGAAAACAAGACTAATTACAAGCTTTCCTGGTTAATCACTTTATGACAGACTAGGTAATTTTGTACTGTTTAGACATTAAAAAAAAAAACACCCAGCATTAACTTCGCCCCACCTTAACAACCATTGGCCTTAGCAGAAGTATGAAGGAAAATTTGGTGAGCAGAGATCTGTTTGTGTATTTACTGGTTTTTCTACCTTCAAGTGATACCCTTAAATCCCTTTATGGACCATTTTGCAAGTCACTCATGCACACCCTTCAGATTAAAACATATTCATCAAGAAGTCTATTTATACTTCCACAATGAAGGGATATGCCTGTATTTAAAGTAAACATGAGGCATACAACTGATTTTTTTTATGTATAGGTAACAATATTGTATACTTGAGGTTAACATTATTTTTGCATTGGTCTAAAAATCACCTTAAAAAATTCCAGCAGCTCACAATAATGTAGGCACCACATAAACTTTTTGGCCAAGATAGTTAATTCTTGGTCTGGATAGGATAATCTTACTCAATGAAGGATAATCTTTACCAAAGAAGTTTAGCTGGGTGTGTGAAGTCCTAGAAGCCCTATCCAGAAGGCTTACCAGAGTGAGTGTTGTTTATCTAACACAGGATTACAAAGTTTCATAGGATATATGAGTAAATAAAAATCTGATAGCCGTGGCATGTGAAACACACTTTAATTTGCTCCATATTTCTCTCTTAAGACACTAGCGTTTACAGATATTTCTGAAATAACAGGAAAATGGTAGTTTCCCTAACATTTTTAAAGATTTTTTGAACTTTTCCCCAATTACATAAACCTTCCTGCATGTTAGTGTTGGTTGACAATCTGTTCTGAATTTTTACGTATTTTTTTCCCATGTTTAAAAAAAAAAAAAAACAAAAACCGACCCTTCAAATTGTCACCCATTTCCTCTCAGAAAACACACATCCTCGTATTTCAACACCTTTAGCTTATGTCATAATAGTTGACATAACACTTAAGATAGCTGCTGAGCCGTGCTAAACTGGTTAATACCCCAAATGGTAAATGCTGCCCACAGCCCCTTTGCTTTTTGTTTAAGATGCCCTCCCTCCCGCCCCCCCAATCGTGTGATTTCACTGAAGGACTCAGTTGAAGGAAAACTTGCTGTTTTAAATAAGAAACAGAGCCACTGTAAAAGGGCAGATTTAACCCTTGTGAGAGTTTGGATCACAAGCCCGGGAAGCAAGTCCCTTATTCGCGCATGAGAGCTGGTGTGAGTCATGGGCGCGGTCCAATGCAGCCCTGCATCCTTTCTTCGAGCATTCCTGTCAGCTCCATTTTTCTGAAAACTTGGAGAAATAGGGTCTGACTTTTCATTCACACATTTGCTGCTTTTCGATGCTCGCATGTCTCTTCTGGCTTCCTGTGCTTTCCTTGTTGGAGATGGAATAGTTTATTGGCCTTCTACAGTTGTCTTCTTGTTCAAAATGTGTACCCTGGGTGCCCATGAAGACTTCAGGGGCCACAGGACATGGGCCCTGTTTCTCTGGGAACATTTGCTGAAACTCAGGGGTCTGTGGCCTGCATCTTTTCCCCCGCCTGTCGTCTCTCTTGTGACCTCTGTCCTCTTACTCCCCCTGGAGTGGTACACTTTTCATCTGTACATTCCAAATATTGCTGGAATGTATTGTCCCCAGTTGCAGTCTTCAAGCATCAAGCAAAACAATAGTTCAAGGGTGTATTGTTTTTGAAGTCAAGCTCGCTGAGGGAGAACCACCACAACTACTACTAAAACAAACAAATAATACAGTGGTGAGAAAAATGGAAGACAGTATCCCAAAACTTCCGCCATGGGTCAGCAACCTCCCCTCACCGTCTGCTTTGTATGTCTTTCTGTGTATCCATTTTCCACCCAGGAACTTAAATGGGTAGCCATGAGAACACATATCAGTGTGTTTATTCGAACAATAGAAAAAAATGAGAGTTGAGGGTGGGGGGGCTTCGTTGTTTAAAAAAAATACCCAAACAAACAAACAACAACAACAACAAAAAAACCAAGTCTGATTTGGTTGATGGATATATTGCTAAAGACTGGGTTTTCAAATTAGTTCATGTGATTAATTTCTCCACTTGTGTATGATGGAAATATGGACGTCTGAGGTTTTGACAGAACACTGTAAGCATGTAAACAGAATACAAAACAACTGGAAACTCATCTTTTGGAGCTATGAAAAGATACCAGGGGGAAATTATCAATCAGCAAGTCCAGATTTAAAACTCACATAGTTGTTTGGACAAGAAAGTTTAAAGTATTGCAAGATACAGCATAGGGTTGGTATAAGGAGGAGTTTGCTAGTAAGAAGAAAAAGGAAATTAGGAAGAATACAGACATAGCAGGGATGGTTGTCATGATTACAGATAGCAGGGTGGTCATGAGTGCAGACAGCAGGGTGATCATGAATACAGACAGCAGGGTGATCATGAATACAGACAGCAGGGTGGTGATCATGAGTGCAGACAGCAGGGTGAACATGCATACAGACAGCAGGGTGGTCATGAGTGCAGACAACAGGGTGAACATGCATACAGACAGCAGGGTGATCATGAGTGCAGACAGCAGGGTGAACATGCATACAGACAGCAGGGTGGTCATGAGTGCAGACAACAGGGTGAACATGCATACAGACAGCAGGGTGATCATGAGTGCAGACAGCAGGGTGATCATGCATACAGACAGCAGGGTGATCATGAGTGCAGACAACAGGGTGAACATGCATACAGACAGCAGGGTGAACATGCATACAGACAGCAGGGTGATCATGCATACAGACAGCAGGGTGATCATGAGTGCAGACAGCAGGGTGAACATGCATACAGACAGCAGGGTGATCATGCATACAGACAGCAGGGTGGTCATGAGTGCAGACAACAGGGTGATCATGAGTGCAGACAACAGGGTGATCATGAGTGCAGACAGCAGGGTGGTGATCATGAGTGCAGACAGCAGCAATGGTGGTATGACCCCTCTGGCAGAAACAGAAAGGCCTAGGAAGGTTCTCCTCCTCGGCACCTCTTCTACTTCCTTTCTCTGTGGTTGAGAAGTAGATGGCCTGACTACCACGTGGCAGAGAGCGCATGGCTATGCCATGAGTGTAGTGTACTGGAAATACGAATTTGCACTGGAAATTTGCCTGTTGGGATCCTCTGGGAAACTGTCCTTTTGGGTGATGGGGAAAGCTGTTGGCAGAAGTAGTTGGGAGTGTTGGGGAAGCTGCTGGCTTTTCATTACTGCCCCTGAAAGCACACTGAAAGTGCCTGGCATTGTAGGAGTCTGGTGCCTGAGAAGCTACTCTTGTTACAGTGGTTGAACTCTTGGAACTTGAGTTTGCTAAAGAGTAATGCAGGAGAAGCTGCTTCCTCTGTGGGAATCAGGCCCTGGAGAAGCTGTGAATACAGAGGGAGCTTGTCATAGGAAGAACTATATACTAGACCTGGCACTGGAGCAGCTCTCCATGTTGCAAAAACTAGAAAAGGAGTTATTTCAATATTCTTTTCAGGAATCCTTGATCAAAACTTTGAGAACCACTCACCACAGGAGTGGATTGGTTGTATCACCACTAGGGATTCTCAAGGGGGCAGTTTGCTTCTTGCTTTGAACACAGAGTATGCAAAGCAATTGCTGAGTGAGGCGTGAGTGAATGGGGTTTTTCTTTTTCTTTTTTCTTTTTGAGAGGGAATGAGAGATGAAGAGAACAGACTAACTAGGAATACTCTGAGGAAACAGTAGGAGACATAAGTTATATACTGTAGCTGGAAATGTCTAAATGCTTCCCAAACTTCCATTTCTGTTATCCAGTCCATCCTTACAGTATGTGTATGGATGTATTTGTATAAGCTTATCTTTAAAACTTAGTGTGTGTGTGTGTGAGTGCACATGTCATTACTTGGATATGGAGTTTGGAGGACAACCTTGAGTGTTGGTCTTATCTTCTGTCTTGTTTGAGAGAGGTGTCTAGCTGTACATTGCTATGTATGCCAGATTAGCTGGCCCATAAGTTCCTGGATTCTCATGTCTCTGCCCCATTTCTCACAGGGATCCGGGGAGTACAGACTTGCACTATGGCATGTGGCTTTTACATGGGTCCTGGGAAGCTGAACCCAAGTCCTCACACTTGGGTACCCACTGTATCCACAGAGCTATTTCCCCAGTCCATAATTGCCTTTTACTTGAATGACCCACATATATTATACTTCCTTACAAAGATGCCTATTTAATTATTCTCATTTTATTCCCAAACCTGTACTGTAAAACATTTCCTCCTTTGAACAATAGGCTGCTTTCTTCCTCCCTCATTTATGGCCTTCTTATACACCAATGAGTAATTTATTCCACCGTTCATGTTTTCCTCACATTCCCAAATTTTACCAAGCTAGTTTATTTTTCATACGGTACTACTGACTTCCAGTTAGTAAATTTACTGACAGGAGCAAGAATGTTCTCACCTCTGGTTATTTGAACTTTTAAAATTTCATAAAGTGAATTTATTACACATCAGATAGACCAGAGAGAGAATTGGTAAAACAGTTAGATTCAGAAAATACTTTGGGCCATTTATATTGTGCTGACTCTTACATTGCCAGGTGCTATGGGATAAATCAAATAACGTCACAAATTTTGTTTTCACTGGCTATGGTTTTGTTGGGATACTGTGAAAAAAATGACAAACAATTCTGTGTCACAATGCTGCTGGTTGAAAGGTTTTCATATATAATTGGAGGGTATATGACTTTGTCAGGTTAGCAAGGGTTTTACTAAGGGGAGGGAGGAGGATA